GGAGTGGCTAATTATGTGATGACTGAGACTGTACAGATACAGCTGACAACTCTACAGTTTTGTGTTCAAGAAGTAAACAATAAAGGAAACTACGTCAACTCACGCCTCGTTTTGTTGTCTTCTTCTTGTGCCTGGGGGTTTTGGGGGTAGGTTTTTTTGGACATTTTTAACAAAAGTGTTTTTATGCCTTCTTCAACACAGTTTAGTGGGTGGTTGGTGGGTGCTCTGGTGTGGTTTGCTCCTTCTTTCCTATTAAACATACATATATTGTCCTTTTCTCTCCTTTTTTGTGTTTGTTACTCTCTTGTAACACTTCTAATCTGCGGCACTTACATGACCTTATTGTGTTGCAAGTGCTGTAAAACTCTTACTAAAACCAAAGTACACAGTTTAGATATTTAGGAGGCGGGCTTCCTGTCAGGGCCAACCTGGGCTGAGAGTTGTATGGTACCCAACATTCCAGCAGAAAGACTGACACCATACTTGATAAAAATTTCTGGGAAGTCTGTTCTGCGTGCAGCAGCCAAGCGCCTAACCTCATGAACTGAGGAAGACATTCTTGAACATCCGAGGAGGAAGAGAAGCTGTAGACATTGCTGGCTACTTCAGGAAGAGAGAAGATAGTCCTTGATTATTCCTTTACTTTCTCTCTTTTCTGATTTAACCATGCCAGTTAGTTCAAATAATAACAAGCAGCTGATGACCACAATTTGCTGTTGACAGCATCGCCTTTCCTTTTCTTTAAGAGCTTTGCCTTTTCTTTTAATTTAATGATATTTAAAATATACTGACCGGCATAAAGAACGCGAAAAATTAACACCATGTGTAGAAATCAAAACTGAGTATTTTCGTGAGTTGTTTTCATTTGTCTCTATTCACAATGTGTTCTTGTTATAGGATTGGCTCGATTTAAAAAACAACACGTTCATTGGCCGCTTATGCATCTAACAATACAACAAAGCAACTCTCCCAATGGTACGCAGTTGAAACGTGAATTTTTGCTCACATGATAAGGTGGTCTGGCCTATAAATTCTCTGCCCTAAAATATTTGAGTGTTGCATAGTCCGACTATCGAGATGCCAAGATTATCGGCGGAAAATCGAGAAAGAGCTATTGGATGTTCTGCAAGCCGGAGAGAGCCCTCAGCACATGGCAACAGTCCTGGGAGTTCATGCTAGCACTATCTACCCCATGCAAAACATATTCCAGACAACCAACTCCACGAGAGATCTCCAAAGAAGCGGAAGACCTCGACTGACAACAGCTTCCCCAGATCACTTCGTCGAGCGTCACTATTGCCGAGATCCACGGTTTGTCTACCTTCAAGACAGCCCAGAACACCATAGGAACGCACGGTAGAGCTGTGAGTGACCGCACCATATGCCGCCGACTTGTGGCCAGGGGGCTGCGTTGTCAGGGTCCGGAGTAGAAAGCGCCCCTGAACGTGCATCATCGACGAGCTCGTCTCCAGTGCCAGTGGGTTCAGAACCAAGTTAACTGGCGTCATCGGCAATGACAGCGTGTGTTCTTCAGCGACGAGAGTCGCTTCTGCATCGATCTTGACAATAGATGGGGCCCGAATTTGGCGCGCCCCAGACAATGCGATTCTTACGTGAAGATCTGGGAGAGAGACCCGAGGGGAGGTCAAAACGTGATGAAATGGGGCGCGATCAGTATCAATCAAAGACTGGGCCCCATAATCTTCCAAAATTTAGGACCTGGGCGTGGCAACGGAGTGACAGCACAGCGCTACATCCACCAAGTCCTGCAGCCCCATGTTGCTCCATTTTTCCAGAGACATCAAAACCACCTCTTTCAGCAGGATAACGACCGGCCTCATACAGCACGTGCTACCCAGCAGTTCCTGGTGCAGAACAACATACCCACCACAATGTCTCACCCACCCCGTTCACAAGATGTGAACCCAATAGAACACCTTTGGGACATCCTTCAGAGGTGTCTCAATCAACTCCAGCCCAGACTCCGCACAGCTGTACACCTGGGTGCTGCTATTTTTCAAGAGTGGGTGCAGCTTCCTAACTGATAAATCAATCGTTTTGTCCACTCTGTGCACTGCTGATGAACTGTTGTCATCAACACTAATATGGGCCATACCTGATACTGACAGGCACTTAAGCCCCAAGGTCAAGGTCATTGGTGCCGAATTACAAAGTCTGTCCCTAAGCACATTCCCAACTCTCTCATTGTTTTCTTCAATTTGAGTCACCTCAGCCCTGTTTCTCTAAATAAAAATAGATCTATTGCTTCAATTTACTCTCTTTTTCTTGTGTCATGGGAATGCGCATTACTTTTGCTGGTAAGTATAAATATATATATAT